TTATTGGCATATAATTAGGCAAAATAACTCCTTATAATTGCTTTGATTTCATCTTTTTAGTAGTACAGTCACACTTATTTTTAATACTAGTAATTTGGTTTTCTTCTCTCTTTTTAAAATCATTAACCGATAGTTTATCTATTTTGTTGATTTTTTTCATAACACCAACTCCTAGTTTTATTTATTAATTCAATGGTTTTCTTATACTCAATTTAATTAATTTCACCTTTAATTTTTAGGATTTCCAATTTAGTGTTTATTTGGAGATATTTAATTTGTTCTTTTTCTAGTTTTTTAAATTGTATACCTAATTCATTGGTCTGCTTTTTCCTCTATTTTACTGATATAAACACTTAGTAATATAAATTTTCCTGATTACTGCTTTTTCTATATGCCATCGATTTTGATGTTGTCTCATTATTGTCATTTTCTTTAATGAAATTATTGTTTTTATGATTTGTTCCTTAACTCATTAATTCTTTAAGATTATGTAGTTTAGTCTCCAATTAATTTTTTCTATGTTTCCATGGTCCCTTATTAAATATATATTTTTTTTATTGTATTGTGGTCTGTAAAGGGAGCATTTACTATTTCTGCCTTTCTGCTTTTAGCTATAAAATTTTTATGCCGTAATATGTGGTCAATCTTTGTAAAGGTATCATGTACCACTGAGAAAAGGTGTATTCCTTTTTATTCCCATTAAATTCTCTCCAGATATTTATCATATCTAAAATTCTATTCATTCCCTTGACTTCTTTCTTATTTAGTTTTTGTTTAGATTTATCTAGTTCTGAGAGAGGAAGATTAAAGTCCCTCACTATTATAGTATTATTATTTCCACCTGTAATTCATTTAACTTTTCTTTCAACAATTTAGATGCTATGGCATTTGGCGCATATGGGTTTAGTATTAATATTGCTTCATTATCTATGATAATTTTTATCATAATGTAGTTTCTCTATCTCTTTTAATTAAATCTATTTTAACTTTAATTTTGTCTGAGATCATGATTGCTACCCCTGCTTTTTTTTTTTATTGACGTATAATAAATTCTACTCCAGCTCTTTATTTTAACTCTGTGTGTATCTCCCATTTTTAAATGTGTTTATTGTAAGCAGCGTATTGTTAATTCTGATTTTTAATCCATTCTGTTATCCATTTCCATTTTACAGGTAAGTTCATCCCATTCACATTCAAAGTTATAATTACTCTGTGTATTTCTATCCATCCTATTTCTCCTCACTGTTGTCTTCCTCAGCCTCTCTTTTCACTTTATCCCTCTTCTAGTTTACTTCTAATCACTATCTTTCTAATTCACACCCTGTTAAAGAATCCCTTTTACATTTTCCCCTTACCATCCTATTCCTTATTCTACCCACCCCTCTAAGAATTCTTCCCTTTTCCTCTCTCCCACCCTCCTAAATCTTAAACTACATACCTTCTAACACCCCCCATCCTGTACTCTTGCCCTCTTCTTTATAAATTTAGAAAACTTTGATACCTTTCTAGATATATATGCTGTTCCCTCTTTAACCCATATCTGATGAGAGTAAGGTTCCAGTACTACAAGCCCTCCACACTCACCTGTTTCCTCTATCAGTTTTTTGTTTCATGCCTCATTTGTATGAGATAATTGTTCCTTTTTACCTTTTCCTAACCCAGTTTTGTTTTTTAGAATCATCCCATGATCCTCAGCTCAGCTCCAACCTTTCTTTCAAACCACCCAAGTACTGATGACAGTTTTAAGAGTAATGATAACATTTTCACAAAAAAGTTATAAGAAGTAAACAGTTTGACCTAATTGAGTCCCTCATAATTGTTCTTTGATGTTTAACTTATATTTCTCCTGGATCTTATATGTTGGATTTTCCATTTTGGTCTTTTTGTGACAAATAGCTGAAAGTCTTTCTATTCATTAAATGTCCATTTTTTCCCCTTTCATTCAGGTATACTTAACTTTGCTAGGTAAGTTATTTTTGGCCACAACTCCAGCTCTTTTGCTCTACACATGGTATTCCAAGACCTATGATCTTTTAGTATAGCCACTGCTAGGTCTTGTATAATTCTGATTGTAGCTCTGCAGTATTTGAACTGTTTTTTTTTTCTTGTTGCTTATAATATTTTCCACTGAACCTGGGAAAATTGGTTATGATATTCTGTAGGTTTTCATCCTGGGATCTCTTTCAGGTGGTGATTGGTGGATTTTTCCTATTTCTACTTTATCCTCTTTTTCTAGAACTCTAGGGCAATTTTCTTTAATTATTTCTTGTAATATTGTATCAAGATTATTTTTTTTGATTATAACTTTCAGGTAGCTCAATAATTCTTATCTTGTTTTTTCTTTTGTTCTCCAGATCAGTTGTTTTTCAAATGAAATGTTTCATATTACCTTCCATTTTTTCATTCTTTTCATTTTGTTTTTGTTATTTCTTGGTGTCTTGTAATGTCATTCACTTTCCCTTGCCCAATTCTAGTTTTCAAGGTTTTCTTCCTTAAGATTCTGGATCTCTTTTTCCAGTTGGTTGACTTTCTTTTCACAATTTTCTTGATTTTCTTGGATTGCTCTTATTTTTTCCCCTAATTTTTCCTCTATCTCTCTGATTGTTGAAGTCCTTTTTTTAAAAGTCCTTTTTAAGTTCTCCCAAAAACTCTTTTTGGGCTTGTGACCATTTGACATTGCCCTTTGGAGTGGCTTTTTTTACTTCAGTATCTTCCTCTGAATACAAACCCAGATCTTCTCTGTCCCTACAGTAGTTGTCTATGGTTGGGTTCTTTCTCCTTTGCTTACTCATTTTAATTTTAATTTTATTTTTAGCAGCTTATTATTATAATCAGCTCTTGTCCTGGGGTGTGGAGAATGGTGCCCCAGGCCTCAGGTCATTCTTACGGTTATTTTCTGAGCTTTGTCCTACGCCCAACCTTGGGCCCTCCTTTCCACTCCCACCAAGCCATGGTTAGGGCCCTCAGTCATGATGTGCTGGAAGCACTCTTGTTCCCTGCAGACTCCAACCACTGCAACCTTTAGCTGTCTTCTCTGGATTGGAATTGAAACTAGGAACTCAGCTCTCCTGTAAGTGCCCACAGCCAGCAGTGTCCCCAACCGCACTCACCAGGCATGTGCTAGCTCCTCTTCAACATCAGCTGCAGCTTGGGACCACATCTGGTCAGCACAGCTGGGTCTGGCATCCCTCAACAGCAGAGGGTCCTTCAATTTTCCCCTGCTCAGATGTCTGACCCTGACACTGTCTGTGAGGTGAAGATTCCTGTGGCCTAGGCTGAGACTGCCTCTCAAACCAGCTCTCCTCAGGGCTTGTTGGTTGTGCCAGCTGAGAAGGCCTGGAGGTATTTACAATTCACAAACCTCAGGACCCTCAGGTCTTCTCCAGGAGGACCTCTGCTCTACTCACTCCAATTCTTGTTTATTTTTGCTTCTCTACATTCACCCCAAGGTGCTTGTCTGTCTTATTAGTGGAGGAAATCTGAATTTTCTGACCTACTCCACCATCTTCCCAGAATTCCCTGCTCCCTTCTCTTTCTAAACTCTCAGTGATCCCATCAGTTTCTGTGGATTCAATTATCATCTTTAAACAGATGTTTAAAGTCTATGTATCCAGTTCTCAACTCTCTTCTGAGCTCCACTTGGATGTCCCATAGGCATATCAAAATCAATGTCCCCAAACAGAACCACATCTTCACCCTTAAACCCAACCCTCTTCTTAACATTCCTATTTTTTCAGGTGACCCAGGGTTGCTACCTCCTGTTCTTTCTCACTTATCCTGAATACCCAGTCAGTCGCCAAATCTTGTCCATTCTGTCTTCACAGAACTTACAGCCTCAAGTGCATTTCCTCTGCTCACACAACCACAAGGCCAAATCCAGGCTTTCGAGACTTTGCTCAAGATGAATTATTGTGATAACCAATAGGTCTCCCTCCATCCAGCCTTTCCTTGTAAAAGCCATCCTCCACAACTGTCATATTGATATTCCTAAAACACAGTCTTGGACTAGGTAACTCCCCTGCTCAAGAAGCTTTATATAATAGTGTCTGTTTCCTCTAGAATAAAATACATGCCTGGAATATTCTCCATTATTAGTTCTCCATCATACATGTTCTCTCTCATACCTCTTGGAACCATTAGCTCCCTTAAAGCCTCTTCAAATGTTAACTCCTTTGAGACCTTTCCTGATTCCCAGTTATTAGCACCTCCTCTGAAATAACTTTTGTGTATATATATATATATATATATATATATATATACATACATATATATATACACACATATACATATATAGCTATAGCTGCACATATAAGGATATATCTATGTATCTTCTATTTACTTATGTGAACTTATATCCCAAATAGAAATAAGCTTCCTGAGGGCAGGGATCTCAATTCTGTATTTTATCACCAGCACTAAGTGTCTGCCACATAATAAGCACTTAGTAAATGTTTGTTGATTGGTGACTGAATGCCAGTGACTAAGCTGGGATTCATACCTGTCCCAGTCTGGCCATCACCACTAACATCAGAGGGAGTTAGGTGCCAACAGTGCAAAGCTCTAGACCTGGGATTTGAACCTGGAGTACAAATCCTGCCTTAAGACACTTACTGGGCAAATCACAACCCATGAGCCTCAGTTTCTTTGTATAATGGGGATAATAATAGCATTCAAGATTGTTTTGAAAACTAAGTTGAGATAACATAGGTAAAGTCCTTTGCAAATCTCAAAGTACTTTATAAATGCTATCATTATTAGGACCAGTAGTTAGTAACATCAACTTCCTGAGTTTCCTTGGAAGGATGTGGGAGTAGAATAGTACTTGGATCTTCAAATGTCTGATTCCTTATGCCTCCCGTGGTCTCTGAAGCAATAGCATGAGTCCGGTTTAGACCCAGCTTCTGTGAAAAGCTGTCATCCTGGAGTATTTCAGAACTACTAGAATTCACACTTTGAAATAAGCCATGTGATTCACTTATCTCCCCCTTCCTCCCCACCAGTTTTGTTCTCTGTTCTTTGGAGCAGTTTCACCTAAGCAACATGACTTCAACCACCCATGGATCAATCTGGCAACAGTGAGTGACAGTGAAGAAGATGTTAGTAATGGTCCACTATCTCAAGTCTTCTAATGTTTAATGGTGGCTCCAGAAGCTTGGCTTCCAGACTGTCGACTAGATGACCCACCACTCAAACGTGCATCTGTATAATGAGTTCCTATACATGTTGTCTGTTTACAAGAGAACCCCCTAAGGGGTTCAGAGTACTTGGTTATAAGAGCATTGAAAATGTCACTTTAAATAGCAACTGTTATTAAATGTGTTTGGTTGTAAAGGCTAGACCATATTGGGATCTGTGATGCCTTGGGGGAGGCACAAGGTCACCATTCTTCTATCTGTGACTACAACTGAACATTCAGTTCCCCTCTCAAAGTGCAGAAATAAGGTCAGTGCCCTTTCACAATAGAGCTTCTGCACTGTCTGCTTTACTAAAGCATTTAAACTTTATTTAATGGCTAATAACCTGTAGGAATCAGTGCCAACCCTTAATATGTCAACACAGCTTGCCACACAAAGTTATTTTGCAATTGATTCATGGATAATGTTGGCACTTGGGTGCAAAGATTCAAACTCTAGTAAACTGTAATGTCAGCTTTTCTGTTATTGTAGTGTTGAGAAATTTTGGGTTAAGGGTTAACTCCTTAGACCCCAGAGAGACCACCCTGAAAATTTAATTTTAATTACTTTCTCATTTGTGAAACGTGGCTACCTATGTTCTGTTACTTTACATTCCCCAGTCTCTTGAGTTTTGTGAGAACGGGGGCAATCTTGTTTTGTATGACCAAGAAGAATTTTCACCAAAGGAGCTGATACCCAAAATGTCACTGCACATACACCCATAAAAAGTAGCACTCATCACTACCAAAGAGTCTGCATTTGGGTGAGATGTGGCAATAGGGTAGAATAACCCTAACCTTTCCCTGCCTCTTCACTGATGGTAGCTTACCTGATAAATACAAACCAAAGAAATCGAACACAGAGAAAAACATTGCTATGTAATGGCCTCTCCCTTCCCCAAACCATCTTAAAGTCATTTAGAACCTGACAAACTAGACTTTGTGAGATCCTATTAGGCCTTTGAGAAACTTAACTGGCAGACGATGTGAGAACTCCACAAATCGAAGGCAGCAGGTTAGGAACAGATTTCTGGGGTCAGAATGAATCTGGCTTTCATTGCCTGATAAAGGAGTCCCAGCAGCCTAACAAAACTTAAGTCCTCACTGAGCTTCTCCCCTTGCACTTCTCAGGTGATAAATTCAGAGAGGTCATTATCAACCTCTTGATTCGTTTCTGGTTTTTACACAACCTTCCTATATGAGGCCATCATTTCCCTGCCCAGGGAGCCATCCTTGTAACAGGTCTTAGAAGAGAAAAAACAGATAAAATACTTTAAAAATGATTAGTCAAAACTAAATTGAGGGCATTCTTACTGAAAGATGAAGGGACATAGAATTGTTTCCTATGGCTACTTCACTAGATGTTTGCCAAAGAAGTTTCAGGTCTTCTCGTAAAGTGGGCAGGTGGGAGCTCTAAGGTTGAAGAATGGCTATGTGCTCTATGACACTGCAGGTCCTGGCCAAAGAGCACAAGGCTTTAGACCAGGGATTCTTAAACATTTTCCACTCTCGATCCCTCTTTCCCATTTCGCAGCACTTGCTGGTGCTGCGTGGGCGTGATGGCATTCACAGCACAAAGTGTGCATGCTTTGAGTTCAGAACCAAGGCTGCAGTGAAGTTTGATGACGCAACACAGGCAAGTGCTGCCAGAAACACCCTGGATTCATTACATGTTTGATTTTTAATTAATTTTTGGTCTTTGCACGTTCAGAAACCTTTTACTGTTGCCAAATTTTTCCCACATGGGGTTGAGACCCACAATTTAAGAATCACTGCCTTAGACTATTGCTATCCACATGCAATCACTTAAGAGTTTCAATTTTAAAATTAGATTACCAAATGATCAGAAGGGGCCTCTTGGTACTCCACGATGCCAAGTTCAAAGCTAAGACATCTAGCTCTCTGTGGGTTCATCTCACCCAATTAGGAGGCACAGAGTTAAGATCTTTTCAAATGGTGCTATTTTATCTAATACATATCTTGCCCATACATTTGTTTGAATGCAAGACTTCTGAAGAACTGAGTTGGTAGAATAGAAGTGGGAAATTTAATAGTGAGAATATGACAAAGCCAATGAATTAATAAAGGCTATATATACTCCCAGTTCTAAAATGCATGATCACTGCTGAAGGCAAAGAAACAGTATCTATATTACTCAGTTACTGCTTGAATTAAAAACAAACACATGCACACATTTTAGTATAAATACTATATTTATTAAATATCTTTACAGTTTATTTAAATGTATGTACAGAACTATTCCTGCATAAGTTATACTTCAGACATCCAATTCAGGTACTTGCCTCTTGTAAGACAGGTAATGATAGTCTCAAAAGAAAAAAAAATTCTCATTAGTACAGGTATAGATTCAATTTTGCTTTGTTATTTTAGCCAACTTTGCCATAAGCCATCCAATACAGTTGTAATCGCTGAACAGAAATAGCTGATTTTCAATTCAGAACTTTTTTCCCAAATGTCCTATAATTTGAATCCAAATCTCATGTTAGTTCTCTCTTTACATGTTCAGTTCTATATATGGAATCAGATTCTGATTTCTTATATTTAAAATTTTTTTAAAGTATGAAACTTGTATTACTTTTTTTTTCCCAGGGAAATTGGATGCGGTAGTTTGAACAAAAGACAGCAAGTAAGGTGACAAAGAATCATTAACATCTGAAAGCAAAGACATTTTGTAGTCCAAGCCCATCTTCTCTACACATCCTTAACACTGACTTTCCCCAAAGAAATCCCACACTCCTGGTCTGGTTACTTGGTGTGGGATGTTTATTTCAGAACAGTTCCCTCGACAGAGGAAACTTTCTCCATCAAGCAAAACACTGAACCTAATATTTTATACAAGTATAACCCTCAAACAAACATACCTGGAATGGATTCTCTTTGTGGTTTAGTACCCATCAATCATGTCAAGCCATTACATTACCCTATTACAGGACAAAAAAAAAATTACTGTTTTTCCCCTTATTTTTCTTCTTCCCTCTACCCTGGGCTTTTTTTAAAAAAAGGAAAAAAAAAAGCACATGGACCCCATTGTATCTCCATTCAGTAGATTTTTTTTTGTGCGCAGGCAGCTTAAGTTCATAGGAAGAAATAAGGTTTTGATATGTTTAGAGTGCACACTTTCAAACAGAACAAAATAAAATTTTCAAGCATGTGATAAAAATATTAATTCTTTATAATACAGTATTGCTTTATAAATATAGATGGAAAAGCTATAAACTTTACTGGTCTTTGGTGCATCCAGTGAGGGATAAATAATTTGTAATTCGTAAATTAAAAATCCAAATTTTCTCTTTTGCTATAAAAGTCCATTACATGAGACAAATGGCTTCACTTATACTGCTTGATTTAAGCTATCATTAGCACAAACATCAGGTTTAGAGTCACACTTACAAAGTGGCACAGCTCAGACAGTCATCCCCCAAATCTAGGATTCCTCAAAAGGGCCAAACAATCTCGAACCACTGAGAGAAAGGGGGAGAGCAGTAGCTGATTGATAACCCCCTAACAGTTATAAAAGAGTAGATCTAACATAGCACAGGGAAGACTGGGGAAGGGAGGGACACAGAGTGAGAAAAGACTTTGGGTCATTAATCTCTAGGTCAAGTACTAGGGCATTCCACTGTAGAACTCCTCTCAACATTATGGGAACAAATTGTCAATTGTATTCTCTAACAACCATTTGTCAAGCAAGACTTTAAGCTGATTAAGTAAACTGTGTAACATACCACCTGTCCAGCTCTATAAAGACTATTTGGGGTTTAGTCTGAGCAGAGAGTAGCCAGTAATTTGCCAGCTCCCCTCTTCCCAGGAACCAAAATTGTAGGCATTGGAAAATTAATGCAAAAACATCCAGATCATAAGGCCAAATACCTCAGACCAGAAGAAATTTAAAACCCCAAACAAAAGAAATTAAGTCATCAGTCTAAGTATGAACATATTTCTTTCAAAAAAAAAATCCATCTGGATGCAACCTTCTGTTTCTTAAAAACATATAGACTGCAAATAGTTTGTGCAAAATAAATACCCGCCACGTGCCACACTCACTCTTCCACGTTTTATCACAGCACTACAATTTCTCATTATTCTAACACTCCCTCCCCTCCCCCCTTCCCCTCTACCAAAGAATGCTATTTTTATCAAGTTAGGGTAGTTAAGGCATTCTGACATGTAATTAAAGGTGATTCAAAATATATATAGATATATCTATATCTATATCTATATATATATATCTAACATTATGCCAATTTAGGAATAGTAGATAAATTACTGAATGGCTTACAAATGAATAACTCATTCTCATTATAAATGAAATGCCTGTTACAAGCATGATGCTTTGAAATATAGTAATGACATGTACATGGTACATGTTAAACAATTTTTAAATAAAACCAAAGCCTGACATACAGTTTTGCAAATATACAGTACAACTTCACAAAAAAAAATCTTTTAAAACCAGTTGAGGTAACCTCAAACATAACAGTTTTAATGCAATAAACCAGGCAGAGTAAGATCTTCTTTAGAGGAAAACAGACTTTCTACATTCTCCTCAAGTAGATACTTATCTGGTTTAATCGCATTCTCATCTAAACACCAATGTTACCTGACTTTTATTTTTTTATGTGTGTACATATATGTGTGTGTGTGTGTGTGTGTGTGTGTGTGTGTGTGTGTGTGTGTATATATATGTGTATATATAAAGCATGGCTTTAATTTAAGGATTTCTAAGTATATATCTTTCTACCACCAAGTTAATGTAAAAAGGAAAACTGACGCAAAAATATATCTTTATAGCAGTCAACTTTTAAATGAGCCTCAAAAGTAAAGGTGAGCTTGTGGATAATGGAGAATTTGGATGCTGGGTAATTTAAATGGAAAATGGCTATTCAGAAACTGTAAACATTAAGTTTGAATCTGACACCTGTAGATTTCTTTTAGGGAAATTTCAAATGTCAGATTTTCACACAGAATTTTTTTTCTGGGGCCTTCAAGTGCTCTTGCCATCACGAAAGGTGTGTGCTGACATGGATCAAGCTCAGTTCGACGCAGTGTGTGCTGCACAAAGTGGGTCTTAACAAGGTCTGCACAGCCAGAAGCCAGCCCAATTCAAGTCCTTGGCCCTCCATCCTGCCTCCTG